TTTTTTTTTTTTTTGGCTTTGGCTTTGGCTGCCAGGAAGCTCAGGGTCAAATGTGGAAACTTAATTCTCATTCTCCAGGTCTTTGCATCAACATACCTATGTTCTTGTTTTCTAGGATACTGCTTTCCTAGTCTGTTGTTCCTAATTCTAGATTCATTTCACAATCTCCTTGTACATGTTTTCATTGCAAACCACCTCAGTGTAATGAACGTCACATATACTTGATGAATCAAGATAAATGTCAAAGTATTTTACACGCTACCAGCATCCTGGAGAAGTGGTCAATAGGAGCCCCACCCCACTGAAAACCTGGAGAGGAGGGCAGAACCAGCCAGACCCCAAAGCTGGGCAAGACGTTCAACCAAACCCAAGAGTCCTGTGGATCTCCTACTCAGAAAGATCAGGGGAGTAGTGTCCCGGAATCTTTCCAGCTCGGGAAGCTGTTTGGTGAGGGAAACTTGAGGACATCAGGGTCAGACCAGAAATCCTAAAGTAAGCCTCCTCCCCACTCCAGCCTCATCCTTGAGAAGTCCCAAAGAGAAGGGGGTTGGTTGTCCCAAGTTTTATGGTGTTATCATCAGAGAAGGAATATTCACTTTATCTGGATCTGACGCACTATTCTTTCTGTAATCACAGGCCTTGCCCTCGTTGTGAGAAGCCGGAAAGGAGGAGGATGTGCACTGCAGTCAGCTACCCTAGATTCACTGCTCTGGAAACTAACAGGACAGTTCTACCCAGGCCTACCGGGTCCGAGTCGCAACTGACTCTGGGCAGCAATGGTTTTGTTGAGTTTATTCTAATCACAAGGATGGCATCGCGAAGGCAAAACAAGAAAGAGGGCGCTCACTGGTCTCTAGCATCAACAAGCTAATAGCAGGCTTTCTCCTCTCCCTGCTTCAATGAAGCACCAGCAGACACTGCTGTAGAACCCTTCTCTCTGCTGGCTGGCCACCCTCCTGGGCACACGCCATGGCAAGGAGGACAAGCACAGCAGGCATCTTCAAGGACCAGCCCAATGGAGGAGTGGCAGGGGACGAGGGAGGGTGCTACCGGGTCTTATCTTTAGGCAAGGACCAGCTTTCTTCATGATCCCTGCCTGTCCTCTGTTGCCCAATCCAGGACCAGTTTGAGTCTGGCCCGTGTGTGGTTAAGTAAAACGACAAGAAGATAGCTGAGCAGCAGTGAATTCTGACAAGGCTCATTTTCACAACTGGCTGAAGTCCCCAGCTTGCATCAGAAATGCAGCTTAACTTCCCCTGAGACCCTCTCCTGTCCCTCCACTCAACCTGAGGGCAAGCAAACCATAAGCCTTCCCCAAGCCTAGTGGTCCGGTGGATGCTCCCAGACACAGAGACCCAGACTCTACTTATCTAAAACGATATTTATTGCATTTCATGCAGTTTGTAGTCCATGCAGCACAGGAGACTAGCACAATTTTCAATGCATTTAAAAAATAAAATAGAAAACGGGGGTGGTGGTGGTGGAAGAAATGGGCAAATGAACAACGTTCTAGTCTCCTTGGGTCTCTGGGAGAGAATGGGTTGGGACTGATCCAGCCACTCTCCAAGGGGAATGAGTTCATCTTTCAGTGAGAGGAATGCTTCCATGGCCTCTGGGTGGGGTGGACAAGAGCAGGGGCTGGGGGGAGGACCAACAGTACACATATTCACCTAATTTCATCCAAGGGCAGAACAAGGTGACAATGCATGGGGCAGCAGCTGCTACACGAGGCAGGAGACAAGACCTTCTGCCCCCAGGAAGATTTGTTCCTAAGGGGAAGTGGCCGTGAAAACCAAAAAGGCTAAACCCCAAAGAAGAAATAGTTCTTCAATGACGCTCTTCAAGAAAATGCCATAAATATGTTATTTAATATTTTCCCATTTCATCGCATTGGACACACAGCTCCATGTATTGAAATATTGATTCCTTGGGAAGGAAAAGGGGGGAAAAACGTAAATAAAAAATATTGCATCTTTCTGTTGGAGAATCTCAACCCCCAGGCATGGGGCAGGTGCACCAGTGTCCTAGCCTGCAAGAGGCGCTGAGGTCGGCTGGGTCCTCTGGGAAGAGAGGCTGTCCCCATCGCCTGGGGCAGTATGGCAAAAATTGTGTTGGGTGTCCTTGGGTCTTGTCAGCTCAGGCCCTCAGTCGCCGGTCACCTGGGGGGCCTGCCCGTCGGAGGGCTGGTTGGCTGACTGGATGAACATAGGTTGGGCGAGGTCCTGGCCTGCAGGCATGGTGACTTGCTGGATCTGGTAGAGCTGCTGTGAGGGGTGGAGAGGAGAGAGTGAGGTCACCCCTGGGAGAGGTGCATGCGGCTCCCTATGGGCCTCCAGTTGGTTGGGGGCCCCAGATACCTCAACCACCACCACCCACTGCCAGGCATCAGAGGAAGGAGGGTGTGTGAAGCTCTGCTGGGACTGGGTGCAGCAGACACGGGAGGCACCAGCCCCATGTGCGGGTGTGTGTGTGGTGGGCAGGGAAGAGGTGCAGGAAGGTGAATTTCCTGTGGCTTTCACTTCTCTGGGCTCTACCTCTCCCGTTAGCTCAAAGCCGGGAGCTTGCTGCACGCTGTTTCTCTGTGGCAAACACAAGTGATTCAAACCACTGTACCAGCAGCTTGGAAGTCAGCACTTCCCAAACTCTTGGTAATCCGAAGTGGCAGGCAGGGCAAGGGAATACCCCCATCCCTCAGGGTATCAAGCTCAGTCAGGCTAGGTTGAACCTACATTTCCAACAAGGGCTCTGCTTGGTAGGTGGCCCAGGACTAAACTCTCAGTACAGCCAAGGCTATGTGAGGGGTGGAGAGGATGCTAACCCAATGACATAAGACAGCTCAGGGCTAAATGGCCACTTGGTTTCTTGGGGTTCTCAAGAAGAAACCAGAAGTCCTGAGTTCCACGGGAGCCCCGGCACATGGGCCTGTACTGAAGCCTGAGGACTGACCCTGGTGGCCCTCCTCTCTGCCTCGGGCAGCAGAAAGCAGGAGCTGGGATATGTCACTCTGGGGCCTTAGTGTGAGGAGAAAGGGGTAAGGAAAAGGGAAGGTTCCTTCCTGGTGTGGATTTAGAATTAATGAATTCCGGACACTGAGGGAGTTCCAGAGGTCACATGTTCCCTGCATTTCCACTAATCCGTGCTATTAAGTAAGCAGTAGCAGCAGCAGCAGCAGCAGCAAGGCTTAGAGGGAAAAATAGCCCTAGAGGGAAACAGGAGACCGTCATTCTAGTCTTGGCTCTGCGATGAGCAGATGAGTGAGCCTGCAGGGCACCCCCATCTCTAGGGCTGTGACTCATCTGTAAAATGGAGATTTGGGCTCTGTAATATCTAAGACTATTTTCAGCTCCCACACGTCTATAAATGTATGATTAAAAGGCTACTTGTGTTTAACCATTTCTGTCCATTCATTACTACTAAAGAATAGAGCAATTGTTCAAACCATCCAAATCCAGATACCACCCACCCCTCCCTCAATGCCTCCCCCTCTACCCTGCCCAGGCTGAGTGCCTTACCTGTCCATCTGTGAACTGGCTGAACTGCTGCTGTCCTTGCTGGACCTCTGTCTGAGTGATCTGCAGGAATCGAGAAGGAAGAAAAGGCAGTCAGCTGCAGGGCCTGGTCCACCAGCCCACCTCCCAAAGTATGTCACACAGTGTCAAAGGAGACAATACACGCACTCGCGCATGCGTGCCAGTATAAGACCTGGCACCCAGCAGGAGCTGGATGAGCACCAGGGAAGCCAGCGTGCCCCTTCCCATCACTGCCCGGGGGCTACAGCCAGCACCACAGACAAGCAGCAGACCCTAGAGGGCATAACACACCACTTCCAGCCCCATCTCTTCTAGGTGTGCCTACTTCTCCACCCATCCACACATGCACCCCAAGGCTGTCCTGAAGCTGAAGGCTCAGGTAGCTCCTAGTGCGTATCTGACAGGGTTTAGAGGCTGGCACCCCAAAGGCCCGTCTTTCTGCCAGTGACAGCAGATCACAAAATATTGAGCCAAGTGGTGAGCGGTCCCTTTCATTCTTGGAAGGTGGGCTCCAAACCAAACCCCTATCACCCAGATTATCTGACTGGAATATGAAACACCCTGGCGAGCAGGTGGCCTTAATCCTGGCAGCAAACCATGAAGTACTTTTTCCGAGACCAGGTGCCGACCTCTGGGCCAAGGGACAGAGGGGGAGGATAGAGGCCCCAGAACAAGGGAAGGGGCACAGGGGTGAAGTGAGCATGACGTCTCTCAATATACTTAACATTTTGCACACGGTCTAATTTAAATGGATTTTAAAACAAATTTACTGACATGTAGAAATCTAATATCCTGGAATCCTCACAGCCAACCTACAGGGCAAGGACTGTCCTCTGGATGGCCAAAATACCCTGCGAGGCCTCCCCACGTGGCTGAGGAACAAGGCAGGGCAGGCTGTGAACGGCTGCTTCTGCTTCTCTCCTAGTGCTCCTGGTTGCCAGTCTGTCTCCCTCCACTATAGGGCCAAGACGCAGAGGCAGGAGCTAGTGGAAAGTCAGCGCTAAGAAACGTCCGAAGGATAAATGAGTGAGCCTGAGACAAATGGAAAGTACTCCCACAGAGAAGATAGTGAACTGCCCTGTGGCCATCGAGATCACCATTAACATCAGCTGGAAGACATTTTCATTTACCTTAAAATTCTCTTTACAGAGAATTCTTTTGTAAAACAGATTCAACAAACATTTACTGAGCACCTGGCATGTGCCATGTGGTTGGAGACTGACTGCCCTTGGTGTCTCCTCTTTGCTTCTCCCTCTCCTCTCTGTCCACTCAATGCTCCCCAATTTGGTTTTATCTTCTGCTCCCCAAACTGACCTCTGGAGAACTCAGGACCCTTCCCTTTTGCTTCCTTCCGCACCCCCCACCCCCGCCCCCACTGTGCCACACAAGGGTTCAAGATCCCAGGAAGAATCACAAGGTTGTAACTGAGTGCCCTCAGGGATCTCGATTTGGGTCAGTAAGCCCCAAGGAAACTAACTATGGAAAAGCCCCAGTCGTCAGACAAGCCAGGAAGTGGGTTTGGAAAAGGCCTTTATAATGATCCCAGAGACTGTATGAAACGCCGAAGTCTTGCTTTGGCTCATCGCTCACGTTTTCCCAAGAGATCTTTGGAGACCCGCTCTACATACTTAGCTCTGTCACCACTGTCAATAGATACGTCACCAGAGAAGCGCCAGGGCCAGACAGGTCCAGCTCTTAAACGATTGCTGCGTTTCTGGGTCTGAGGCAGATGACTGCATTAACAATGTCTCCCCTTGACCAGCGTTCCCCCTCTGCAAAGCACACCCATGGCCCATGGCCCCTGCTCCCTTGATCCCAGGGGAGCAGCGTTCAGCATCTGTGACTCACAGCCTGGAATAGCTTAGAGCACAAGAGATGGCAGTGCAAGGAGTCTGATCCCGGCTGCAGGACAGGGGAGGGGAAGGGAAATTCTCCACTTCCCAGGGGCTCACAGAAGGGCAAGGACACAACTATTCGGCTTAAAGATGGACGCGCAACGTGATCATCAGGTAGCGTATCAAAAGGCTTCCCCTAGTCAAGTGGTTCTCAACCTTCTTAATGCTTCGACCCTTTAATACAGTTCCTCATGTTGTGGTGACCCCCCACCCATAAAATTATTTTCATTGCTAATTCATAACTGTAATTTTGCTACTATTATGAATCGGGCCACCCCTGTGAAAGGGTCGTTAGACCCCCAAAGGGGTTGCGACCCACAGGTTGAGAACCGCTGCAGTCAAGCAGGCATCCTCCACCCCGCACTCAGGCTTTCTTCCAGAATCTGCGAGGTCTACGCTGAGAGCAGACAGAAAAAGCAGCACTTTGAACCCAATGCTCCGGTTTCCCACCCAGCAGACATGAAGGCATCCTTGCTAAAGGCGGTGGTGGTGAGAGCATTGTGGGGTCAGTCCCCCTCTCTCCAGAGAGAAACCAGCTCCTGCTGGTTTGCAGCGATAAACTTGCATCTCTGACACCTACCTGTTGGGCATTGGTGGCAAGTGTCTGGATCTGTCCTTGTACCACCTGGGTGCCTGACACAGGCTGGGCTAAGCGAATGTACTGTAACTGGCCAGCGTTCAGCTGCACCTGAGGGCGGAGGGGAGAGAGACCACAGGAGATTGAGTGCCACTACAAACATGGCCACAGGCTGGTTGCCCACCACTAGCCAAGCCCTCCAAAGAAATACACCCTAAAAAGTGTCATTTTAATGAACACCCAATATGTAGAAGACTATGGAGGACAGTGGGAACCCAAAACCCATCTGCAGAGTAGATAGTCAGACAAGCCCCTGACAGATCCGCTCCAGTCAAAGGCAAGAGCCTCAAACACAGATCACTGTAATCTTGATTATGCTGGATCATACTCCATACTTGGCCAGTTGACCATGCTATAGACATGACCTGAATTTGTCCTGGGTGCAAATATCTCTTAGCTGTTCCATGACAGAATTCCTTCTCTGTTTCTGAATGTTGATGGGGGTCTTCTTCTCATGCATTATTTGTATTTTTGTCTTCATACTAATATGATCTTATCCTTACCACCTTAGTGCAATTTGCTTTGCATTGTTTTCTGTTGTTTCCTCCAGCTGTGAAGCACAGGAGAAGCGGATACATAATGATAATAACTGATACAAGGTGTTACAGGGAATGCAGGGGCAATGGGTGGTAATAGGAAGGGACGGAAAGAGGATTTCGGGAATAATGAACGAGGGAAGGGGGGAAGCCTAGAACTGATAATTGCGCATCTCATTTTAAAGGCGATTTAACCATGGGGAGGACGGGTGTGTGGTTAGATGTGGTGGTGATTGTACCATTCCCCTTGATATGAGTGAATGATTGAACTATTCTATTGTACAGTATGTGAATTATATGCCAATAAAACTGTTGGGAGAAAAACACCTGTCATCTAGAATAA